TTTCAATACCTAGTACGTTAAATATATCACCTTATATTTGAGATGTTGTGACAGCATGAACATATTCCATATGCTTTCTTAGATTTGAGTACTTTCAGCCTCCTTTATGGCTTGTTGAGTGTTGATTTGATGTGATTTATTAGAACTAACCAGCTGAGTCATGACCATAATAATTTATCGGGTTAATAAGTTTGGGTTCTAAATTTCTAACCCATAAAAATGAATGTTATTAATAAGGGAAAAGATTAATGACAAGAAGATGGAAGATTTGAAACTTTTTTTTTAAGTGTGGGTTGGTAAAAACTTGGAAGTCTTGTCAATTGATTAAATCGAGTATTATGAGTGATTTCAAGATTGGAAGCTTCATTGTCATAATAAGTTGTTGTGTAACTAATACTTTAATTTATTTCAGTGTTACAGTTCAACTCTTTTACGCCAGTGATATCCATCTATCTTTACTGTCTATTATTCTGCTTATTCATGTGTTTTGAGTCCTACCCCATTATTAATTGCGATAATTCCCCTACGACGCTTGCACGCAAGTACACAACTTTTCGAGGATCCGTGACCGAATTACATTGCATCTTCCATATAATTTTTTTCGTCACGTTGTTAATGATATATTTGTGAGATCCTCACGCGTGTCCCTGTTTACTACTCAAATGACTCGTTACGTGATAAGCTATGTGATTCCCGATCAGCGAAGCAACTAGAAAATAATATACAAGTAAAAGAAGGCTAATAATAATATTCTTTTTTGTTTTAAACTACTTTTTATTTGAAATTTATTATTAAATTAAAAAATAATAAAACATCAATTGAGAAAACATTTTTAAAAGTCAAAGAGTATTATTTTATTATTATGGCAAAATTTTAAATGGTAATTATTAAACAAATTGAAAGAATTATGAAAAAAACTATTCTCATACTACATGAGATGCGTTTTTTTTCCTACACACCTTTCAATAACTGTTTCATTTTTTTTCTTTTTATTTTTTCAGGTAGTAGAGTCCACAAATTTGTCTCTATGACATGATTTACTCCTTTAACATGAGATTAGTAAAACCCAAGAAATAAATATAGGAGATGATTGACTCTATTTTTTTTTTCAGTAACTAAAAGTTTAGATGGAGTTAAACATTAATATTTTATTATGGCCGGGGCAGACCTCTTGATTTCTCTAAGAATTTTTGGGAGGGTTATAGATCGCCCCCAACCTAATCCTTTTTTTCTATGCAATGGTAATATTGGGATTTGAACATATGACTTCATGTAAACTACTTATACCCCAACCAACCTAATCATTAACTAGGGGTGTAAATGAGTTTGGCTGGCCTACAGGAGCCTACGGCCTAACTTATATTAAGTCAAACTTGACATATTATAAGAAGTCAAATAGAACAGTCCATGCTTTTAAAAAAATCTATTTAGAAAATATGTCATAGACTTTTTGTATATGTCGGGCCTATAAGCCTATAGGCGGGTCTGTATCATATATTTTTTTAATAATTTTGAATAATAAAATGATATTATTTTAGTTATTTTTTTAATTATTGAATGTTTAATAGGCTAAAAGGCCTAGGTCAAGACTTTTATTTTTTTAAATATAAATCAGGTCAGACTTATAATTTGGGCTTACACAGGCTAACAGGTTAGAGCAAGCCAAATTTTTTTTACACTATTAAATACAAATGAATAAATGACCAAAAAATGTAAGACTTCTTAAAAATAAAACGCCACTTGTTAAGCAAACATTTTATCTAAAATCTGAAGTTATTAAGTGAAGGCATATCAATAGCTTTTATATTATATCTCCTTAACACACAGATCAATAATTTTTATATTATATCTCTCTCATCCCTTCATGTAATAGTCTGTGGGCTCAAACCTCGAATATTGCACATTTTCATTTTTTGTTTTACCAATCTACCTTATATTAACTTAATTCCACTGAAAAATGGGACAACAAGGATCGAATTCATGATTCTGTGATCATCTTAGCTCTCATAGTATATCAAGACCATTTCAACTCAAAAGCTTACGCTTTAAGTGAAGACCTATCAAATATGAATAATTTTTATATTATATGGTTATGTAAATAGTCAAATCAACTCAAAAGCTTAAGTTGTTGAATGATGACATTTTTAATATTTTATATTATTCTCTAACACACCACCTTTTACAAGCATTGTTGTCAAAAACTAGTGTAAAAACATAAAAATTTATGTTTTTACGTTTTTGCTAGAGTGATGTGTGTTAAAATGCAAGTAAAAATGATTTTTGGTAAAAACTGGTAAAAACTTATGTTTTTACCGTTTTGACGTTTTTACTTAAAATGAAAAAAAAAAAATTAAAATAAAGATTTACTAAAAAGAAATTAAAAAAACACAATTTTTCATTTTTCCCAAATCATATGCATAGTATCTTGATATCTTTTTGTTTGAATATATGTCTTTTATAATTATGTCTTATAAAGCTGTAATTCTATTATAAGTTATGCTACGAGAATCGTTTTGTGTTTTTGGATCATTGTGTGCATTGAAAGAAGTGGAGTTATATCCCAATGAGCGATGATCCAAAATCTGCAGAGTGTATGAAACAGTTAGAGCATATTGGTTATCCATTATTTGTTAGTTATCACTGTTTATAATTTTGATATTTGGTTATCAAAACTAATTTTTCTTTTTAGATAGATAAGTGGCTCAACACACATGTTCATTATGTAATTTTTTTTTACATGCGTATATATAATTTTGTATCTGGACCTTAAGTAGTAGAAAGTAGAAACTTTACGTTTCGTGTTGTTTCTACATTTTACGTTTCTACCACCCCTTTCCGTTTCTACGTAGAAATTCGAGTTTGACAATATTGCTTACAAGAACCATTTGAATTTGAAGTATAGATATTACACAGATCTGATTTTTTTTTTTATCTTGTACTTATTTAATTCCACTAAAAAATGGAGACGGTGAAGATTGAACTTGTGATTACTGAATCTCTAATATTAATAAAGAATCAATTCAACTTAAAAGTTTAAATGATTTTTTTTATATTATTCTTTAATAGTTTCTAACACCCGTATATATAATTCGAGATTTGATTATTGCCGCTAATCAAAGAGAGTGGTCCGTCAAAAGAGAGAGGTGAAGCGAAATTATATAAATTGGATAACACTTTTTCTACGTTATGTTTGTACAGTACACATAGTTCTAAGACTTTAGGTAAGTGACCTAATATGAGTATAAACGTGGAAAAGAAAAGATCAATATTATAATTAAATGAGCAAAAGTATGCATACATATAAAGTTAAATGTGTGTGATTGAATGGATCTAACAATGAGATGGAAGAAGGGTCAGCATAATTTGAAGAGGTGACAAGTGTCATGTTTGAAAGGCAATGAGGTGGGAAGGGTTGGTGGTTTTGGGGTGTCTCGGTGCAGCTGCGTTTTTTGAATTGAAAATTGGAAACTTGATTCAATTCTGGTTTTATGTTTCGGGTTTGTTTGCAGTTTCGGATCCACGTAAGGTAATGCCACGCGTCCCATATTCAATTATGAGAACCTATGATATTCTGCAAGCGTCAATCGCCTTTGACATGCGGTCCCACACGTGTCCAAATATCCCTTGTTACGTATATCGCTTTCATTGGACAACTGGAATCGCCACAAATAAAGCGAACCTTCTCCCCACTCAACTCCACACTCTCCCACAACCACCACCGTCACTCCACGCTCCTCTTTTCTTTTTTTTCACTTACTTTAATATTTGTATCTTATTATTAGTTTTAAATACTTTTAGTTTTTTTGAACACGTGTTCCTTTACTATTAGTGTTGATTGATATCATGAAGATTTTCATTCGTAGATATTATTTTTTAAACTAATTCAATTTTTTTTATTTTTTAAAGAATAATACATATTGTCATTGACATTTAAAAAAAAAAAATTAAATTCTTTCAATTTATTACATTTTTTTATAAAAAAAGAACTAAATGATATGAATTTTTTTATTTTTTTTTGTGAACGGATACATGTATGCATAAAGAGTAAAGAGTAACATTTGTGATTGTGTTATGTCGTTTTCTCCCTCCATGACTTCTAGTTCAGTCACACAAAGCCTTTTTCCTTTCATCGTACAATTGCTTATATACTTTTTATACTCTCTAGCTTAAATTTAAGAAATGTATACAACATAAGAGTATTTGATCTTAAAAAAAATTAAGAATGTGTCATTAGGATGAGAAATAAATCAATGAATTGTAATTTTATTTTAATTTTACAAATATTCGTCATGTATAAAAAAACCTTCCGATGAAATAAAGGTGAACATGGTTAAGAATAAAAATAAAATAATGAGTGCAGAAAAGACAAACTGACAAACAAAAAGCAGACCCTAAAGGCGCGTGTAGTGTACACGGAGGGGAGCGGCCGTGAATTGCAGAATCAAACAGGAATCTCGTATTCTACGATGGAGCCACGTGGTAACATCTTCCGGCCGAGTGTCGTAGGAGACCTAAAAGTGGAATACAAAAAGATATTTTTTTTTTTTTTAAAAAAGAGAAAAATATTTGAATAAAAATTAATGCACTTAAGCTAATAAAATACTAAACATAGTAAAAAATCATAATTAAATAAATACCTCAGACTTTAGAAAACAAAAACGAAATAGAAACATAGTTTGGAATTAGATGAGAGAGAGAGAGAGAGAGGAGAGGAGAGGACCACATGCGTGTCTGTAAAGCAAGAACGTTTCGACATATCGTGGAAAGAAATGATTGGTGCCACGTAGTACTTTAGAAAAAGAAAAGAGAACACGTGTCCCATAGGGAAAGCGGATGGTGAAACGATGGACGGTGGAGATTGCATCATACCAAATTGTAAGTGTGGGATGGGTGCCCGTGACGGTGACGGGCAGGCTGCCCGTGATTGGAAGTGTGGCCCCCAGGTGAATTCCTCAGAGGCCTAGAAAAGCTTCTCCCCAAACCCATTTCAATGGGTCTTCTCACACAAACGCTTCACCCTTTTTTCTCTCTTTTGCTCTTCGTTCTGTTCTCATAATAATAAAACTCTTAGTTAATAGAAAAATTTTGCAGCTTCGGTGAGACTTAATGGCTGGGATTTGCTGTGGTGTTGTTGGAGAAGGTGAAACTCCGGCTCCAATTGAGCCAAGTTCACGGCCTTCCCGGCGCCGGAGTTTGGACCTTCTTCCGTTGAAATATATGGCCGACATGGCAGTGCCATCGTCGGACACTTCCCGGAAACGCCACAGACTGGATCTCTGTCCTAAGGATTGTGAAGAATCCAGTGCCGCCGCCGCCGGCGGCGGCGGTGGCGTCGGCGGATACGGGAAGAAGAAGGTGAAGGTAGACGAGGAGGATCCGAAACGTTCGAAGGTTTCTTCTTCTTCCTCCTCAACGGTGGGGGATTTGGAAGTTGAAGAGTGTCCCAAGTTTGGTGTTACTTCGGTTTGTGGTAGAAGAAGGGATATGGAAGATTCGGTTTCTGTTCACCCTTCGTTTTCTCAAGAAAAGTTTAACTACTTCGGTGTTTTCGACGGTCACGGTTGCTCACATGTCCGTTTTCTCGCACGTGCTTCTTTTGTTTTTTGTTTATTTGAATTTTGGGTTTCTGTTTTTGGTAGTGATTCTGAGACTTTTTTTTTAATTTGTTTGAAACAGGTTGCGACTATGTGTAAGGAGAGGCTACACGAGATTGTGAAGGAAGAGATTCACGTGGCGCGTGAGAATTTGGAGTGGAAATCGACGATGGAGCATGCTTTTGCTCGAATGGATGATGAGGTTCAGAGCTGGAGTCAGAGTAACCAGACCTCACCTTGTAGGTGTGAGCTTCAGACTCCTCACTGCGACGCCGTCGGATCCACCGCCGTCGTCGCCGTCGTCACCCAGGACAAGCTCGTCGTCTCCAACTGCGGCGACTCACGCGCCGTCCTCTGTCGAAAAGGCGTCGCCATCCCACTCTCCTCCGATCACAAGGTCGCTTTCCTTACCTTAACTTTTCCGAGAAACAAACAAAACTAAAAAAAAAAACAAAAAAAACGAGTTTGTTCTAACTGTTTTTGGATCCGGTTTTTTTGCAGCCCGACCGACCCGACGAATTGCTCCGGGTTCAAGCCGCTGGAGGGCGCGTGATATATTGGGATGGGCCCAGAGTGCTTGGGGTGCTTGCTATGTCAAGAGCCATAGGTGAGTTGAGCACTAGTGCGCACGATAGCACCAAGAACTGCGCATTCTAGCAAAAGTGGTTATGTTTTTTTTTTTTTTTTTTTTATGTTTCTGTTTCTAACGTTTGTATGTTTTCCGTGTTTTTAGGTGACAATTATCTGAAGCCGTATGTGATTTCGGAACCGGAGGTGACGGTAACTGAGCGTAGCGACGAGGATGAGTGTTTGATTTTGGCGAGTGATGGACTATGGGACGTGGTGTCAAACGACACCGCATGTGGGGTGGTGAGGATGTGCCTCAAGGCCCAGAAGCTGCCGTCGCCGCCGCCTGGGTCTCCCGGGAGTGATGTGGCGGCGGATGGTTCGGACAGGGCTTGCTCCGATGCGTCAATTCTGTTGACCAAGTTGGCGTTGGCTAGGCATAGTTCGGATAATGTGAGCGTGGTGGTGGTTGATTTAAGGAGAGATCAACAACAACAACAATCATCCAATTCCAACGATTGTTAATTAATTTAACATGACGAGGAATCAAACTAATGAATGAATCAATCGCCCTTTAACCTTGATGATGGACATTGCCTACCCTCCATTTTTTTTAGGACTTGATTAAGGACAAGTGGGAAGAAAATGGTGGGGGTTATGGCTTTTGCTTAATCAATGTGATTGTTGTAATGCAATGGGAATCTAAGTAATAGAGTTGAGTGGGGAAAAAAAAAAAAAAGTTGTAACTTTGGGAAATGAACAAATTATAGGAAAATTTTAGTGTAGGGGAAATTTTGTGTCAACAAAGGTTTCAATCAGCCAGTTGACGCACCTTTCTTTTGTCCATAATCGAATCTTTAAATTGTATTTCGCTTTTTGGTTCATGTTTGTGCCAATTCTTTTGTTTGGTTAGTTCTTTGAAATGAAAATGAACTTTGAATTTGCTAGTCTTTTTAAAATTGATCGCGTCTATTATCATTTATCACTCAATTTATACACACAGAAATATTTGTGAGACGTTGTTTTGAAATTGAAAAATTAAAAAATTAAATTATAAAGATTATAATAACTTTAAAATAAATTAAAATTATAAAATTATCATCATTTTTATTGCAAAATGACATTATATTACTTTTACTTCAGCAGAAAAAGCGAACCCATAAGTCCTCTCTCTTTACAGACTCGGGTGATTCTTGAATGAGTTGACACAATTGTCCTACCCTCGCTACTTCCTCCCCTAGTCTTTGGGGTATTCAGATAGAGGGATGGAAATTATCTTAACCAAATCCAATATAGCACCTAGCCTCACACTCCAAGTCTTCATTTATACGTACTAAGCTATTCTTCTGCCTAAATGGAAAAACTTTCTGTTTTCTTTTTCTTTTTTTATTAATCTCAAATGAATATTCACTTTGGTAAGACGGCAGAAAAAAAAAAACAGATAAAGAAGAAATGGAGTAAATAATAATAATAATTATTATTTGCATATTCGAAATATAAGAGGAAAAGTTTTAAGATTAAAAAATAATAATTTATAATTTATTACTAATAATTATTTTTAATTATATTTAGCTGAAATTTAAAGCTATTTTTAAAGTTGCATTTCAATATCTTGTAAGGAAGCCTTTGTAAGTAAGGGTTATATGATTGTACCGAGACAATTGAAGTTTCTTGGTTTTATTTTTATGTAAGGGATAAATAAATCTCATGTTGTAGGAATAGCCATCTCTCATGCTAGTGAGAACTCGATTTTCGTGTTAATATATATATATATATTTTTTTATTTAAACTAGTGGACCCACTTGATTGTGTGTGTAGGAGAAAAGCTCCTCAGATGCAACCCCTTTATGTAATTGTACTAACTCAAATATCACACTTCTTTATGTTTTATGATAGAAGTTCAAATCAAGTAGAATCAGTCTCATTGAATAAAAAACCAATTGGCAAATGCATTCATATTTCTCTCAACACATGCGTCCAATAATTTGGTATCTTTCTATGGATTGAGCTCGTGACCTCAATAGTTATTTTTTTTTTAAAAAATGTTCTACTAATACTTTTTGTTTACGATATTGGTCAATTACAAGATAAATTTATAATAAATTATTTCAAATAAATATTTTTTTAAGTATAATTCATATAAATATTAAGGTGTTCAACAAATTTGCTTTCATAAACTTTTTCTTTGTCCCATAAAAATAAAATATTTTACCATGGGCATCAACTAGTTTTGGTTTTACAAGGTTATTTCACTAGTTGAATGTGATACTAAGTACCCGTTAGTATTAAATTTACTTCGTCATGCAACATCAACACGATACAAGAATTTTGTGTTCGGGTTGATTCGCACATTCATGTCTTATTTGTGTTAAAAAAAAAAATTGTATTATGTAACCCGTAAACACAATTCTACCTTCAAGATGGACAGTGAATATCTAACATTGCCATCTTGGATAATAGAGAAAGAAGTGCAGTAGATGGAAGAGCTTTTGTAAACAAATCTGCTAGTTGGTCTTGTGACTTGATAGACATTAATCTAACTTGATTAGAAGTGACTTAATTGTTTTTCTAGTATAGGTGGATGACATCATTTTAGCCGGGTCTTCTATTGAACTTTTTCAAAAGGTTAAGCTTTTTCTTAACTCTCAATACAAGCTTAAATACTTGGGTTCTCTTAAATATTTCTCGAGGTTAGAAATTTCTAGGGGCAAGAAAGGAATTGTGCTTCCTCAAAGGCATTATGCACTACGGTTGCTTGAGGATACTAGTTTCTTGGCTTCCAAGCCTGCCAACAAATCTATGGATCTGAATATAACTCTCAATGTCTCTAATGGAGATCTTCTTTACGATTCTACTCAATATCGCAACTTAGTTGGTAGACTACTTTATCTAATGCTTTCAAGACCACATATTATATATGTTGTTCATCGTTTAAGCCAATTTGTTTCACAGCCTCGAACACCTCATCTACAAGTTGGGAACCATCTTCTGTGATATGTCCAGGCTCATACTGGTCAGGGTCTTTTATTTTCTTCTTCTTCTCTTCAATTAAAGGCTTTCAATAATGCTGATTTGGGCGGATTTTCAAATTCCAAAAAGTCCTTAACTAGTTTTGTGTTTTCCTTGAGGATTCTTTAATATCTTCGAAAGCTAAAAAGCAAACAATTGTCTCCAAAAGTTCAGTTATTGCATTAATTTCTTTACAAGTTACTCGTATCATGTTGTGCTTTGCTGGCACGATATTAGTGAAAATAACATTTAGTACACAAGTTATTTGTCTTATGTAATGTCGTGTCAACTTATATAATAAATGGAACACTTTGAGCAAATTATATTTGTGATAAAGATTTTGACATAATTTTTTGTTAGTGTTAAATGTAATCGTATTCATGTCATATTTCAATCCATATACCCAAATTACCACCTCTACTTAGCATAATAAGGTTATCCTTTATTTATTTCCTTCCAAGCTCAAATATTTAGTGCATAATTTTTTCAATCGCCAAACTTTTTGATAGAACTTAAAGGATTTTTGATTTATCTATAAAAAAAATAACAAGGATTTTGATTTTTATTTATTTATTTCCACTTAATATGTTATCATTAATTATAAATTTTTTCCATTCTTTATTTTATCTCATGCTTTCAAGATTAGCGGCTTCTACTATATATATACAAAATCCTAATATTAAAAAATAAAATAAGGTGTCATTTGTAATTATTAATAAAAATAGAGTAAATATCATTTTTGGTCCTCAGCAAATTTTATGATGCCCGCTTTAGTCTCTAGCAAATAAAAAGACCCATCGTGGTCCCTAAGAAATTCAAAATGGACCCATTTAGTTAAAATCGTGGTCTCTCACAAATTTAAAAAAGATCCATATTAGTCCCTCAAAAGAACTAAAATGGGTCCATTTTGAATTTCTTAGGGACGACGATGGACCTTTTTATTTGCTAGGGACTAAAGCGGGTATCGTGAGGAAATTTGCTGAGAACAAAAAGAATATTTACTCATAAAAATATGTTAAGCAAAAATAAAAAAACAAAAAAACAAATCAAACACTATGTAAACAGTTAAACTTACTTGCTTGAACCCGAGCAGCAAAAGGAATAGGGGAGCTCCTATGTGGGCTAAGGATTTTGTAGTTGATGTTTAGTTGTAATTCAGTAACTGAGGTGTTGTAATTCAGTAACTGAGGTTCTGCATTGTAATATTGTATAAGGGGTATAATAGTCATATGGTGTTAGTGAGTTGGCAGTTAGTTGGGAAGTGATGCCATGTGTCCATTTTATGGAATGCATGCGGTTAGTTAGTTGTCAATAGATATAAAGTCAATTGGAAACAGAGAAACATTCATTCTGAATAATATACCATCTTGTGAATTCTTTTCATTTCTCTTTTGCGTCTCTGTTAGGGTTCTTAGCTCTTAACATTGGTGCTTTCATATTGTTGTTCTCACGCCGTTTGAAAATGAGAATCCAAGAGCTAGCTGAAGACTTAGCTTCTTTCCAGACGCGAGTTGATCGAAGTTTGGAGGACTTGCAGCAGCGTTCTGTTGATCATCAAACCCAGTTCGTGAACCTCAACAATCAGCTTCAACAGATCCATGCAGCGATTATGGGTGTTGAATCTCGCATGAATGATCATGTTATGCCAAGAACTTCAACCAATCCAATTTTAAGTAGTCTTGATCATGCAGGACAGAATCAACTCAGGTTTGATCCTTCTGATTCGCGAAATGTGATGCGTTCTGTTAAAATGGAATTACCTTCTTTCGATGGAAAGGATCCAGTGTCCTGGATTTTTCGTACGGAGTTGTATTTTGGGTTGCATCAAATACCCGATACTCTCAAGGTGCGTTTAGCAGGTATGAAAATGGAGGGAATGGCGGGTCCTTGGTTTCAATGGTTGTTTAGTGGAGGCACGATTCAATTGTGGGAAGATTTCAAAGTTGCTTTACAGCAACGTTTTGGTGGCACTACATACACTGACCTCAGAGGTGTGCTTTCCAAATTATCTCAGGAGGGTGCTCTTACTGATTACATTCGCAGTTTTGAAGCCTTGATTAATCAGGTAACAGAGTTTTCTGATGCGGTTTTGATGAGTTTTTTTGTTTCTGGTTTGCAAGCTGATTTAAGAAGAGCAATCCAATTGCATAAACCCACTTCCTTTCATCAAGCCATGCAGTTAGCCTTAACATATGAAGCTCATTACTCTGATCTTCGTGTGTCTCTGTCCTCTGTCCCCAAGAAATTTTATTCCAAGCCCTTGTCCAGTGATTCCTATAACCCTACTCCCTCTTTTGTACCACACCACAAACCGACTTTTCCAGCCTTGCCATCTACTGTACCTACCAATAAATCAAGTTTTCCAGCCTTACCACCTCCAGCATCTAGTAGAAGGGTATCTAATGAATATTTGCAGAAGCGAAGGGATTTGGGTTTGTGCTATACTTGTGATGACAAGTGGAATTCTAAGCACATATGTAAAGGGCGAATGTTGTTCATGGTTGGGGAATCAGGAGAAGAAGTGTTAGACAGTGAGGAGCAAATAGTATGGAAGCCTGAACAGTTGCAACAGGATCATATCGAATCAGTCATACATCACATGGATGCAGCCTTACATTCTATGGAGAGTGACCAGAATCCTAGAGCTTTGCAATTCCAAATTCAGATGAATGGCAGGTCAGTTCCTATCCTCATAGACTCAGGAAGCTCTCATAATTTTGTGCAAAAAGAGCTAGCTATCAGTTTAGGCTTGTCTATGATCAAAATCCCAAAAATGAGGGTGTTCTTAGGAAATGGAGATTTTCTGGTATGTGACAAGAAATGTCATGCTGCTGTGTTGAACATTCAAGGGCATTCTTTTGTAATGGACCTTTGG